GAGAGAGAGAAAGAGAGAGAGAGAGAGAAAAAAACATAGTATTCATCATTGAAATAGGGGGTGTCTAGAGAAGTTACCTTAGTCATCAAGCGAAAGGTGTGTTCGCAGTTCTCTATTCTTTCACCTATCCCATCTAATCTTCTATTCTCTTCACGTCCGCGTGTAGAATATCCTTAATCCAAATCATTTGAATGCTGACTAATCCGATTATTCCGCATTAACGAGTTAGTTATCTTACGTTTCGACGATGAATAAAAGAAAGGAAAGAAAAATGAAAAAAAAAAAGAAAAGAAAAAAAGAGAAAAGAAAGAAAGAAAGAAAGAAAAACAAAAAACCGAATATCATTTAAACGATAACAAAACATTGTTACTATCTTGAACGTGATATAAAATCTTAATAACTCGAAACCCGAAATAAATAGAATTCTTGAATTAAATATGATACTAAATTAAACTCTACTTTATTCTAATAATAATATTATGGATTGTACGGCGGGAGGAAGGGAAGGGGTGGAACGATTCTAGGGGATGCTAATCTAATTCGTTAACGTATATCCGTCTTTCATTATTCTCACTATTGGAGATTATTAATGAAGTTATTATCAATATTTCTGAAGTATATAAAAAAAAATATATATATATATATATGTATATACATGTATATACGGGGCTATCATCATTCTTCGGATTGTTACATAGCGTCGAAAAAAAAAAAAAAGAAAGAAAGAAAGAAGAAAAGAAATAAATGTATAAATAAATAAACAAAAACAAAACGTAACAAAACAAAACGAGACGAAATGAAAAGAAAAGAAGAGAAGAAAAAAAAAAAAGGATCGAGTTGCTAATTTGGCCCGTAACTCCAACGATATATATTACATGTAGGTCCAGCTCTCGTCGAAAGCTCTCGTTCGCAGGCAGTTATTTCGTAACAGGAATCATTAGCGTATGGCTGCGTTAATTAGCGGAAGTTCCGCACGTATGTGCCCATCCAACGATGCAACTACATTCGCCATGATTGTATACGAAAGTATGTGTACGTGATAATACGAGATATATAAACGTTTGTGTCTAACCATATATTTGTACGTATATATACATACATATATATAAATATATATATATATATATATATATATATATATATATATGTATGTATGTATATATATCGTCTCTTTTTTCCCCTTCACCTTGGTTGTATCACCGATGCTCATACGGCGTGTAACGGCGAATTATCCACGGGCTTTTAGCCGTACTTCTACCGTGAAATCAGTGCAAACCACACCTACAATGTGATACAAAGAAGATGAATATCATGTCCTCAGATCGAGATTTTTTTTTTCGTGTACTTTTTCTAATCTAAAAATTCATTAGCAAATAATTTATTAAATGAATAATATTCAATTTATAACACGAGAATATATTTTACCGAATATCTATTTACGTTTAATTTGTCTCTTTCTCTGTTAATCTGACAATGAGTATTTGGCAGATGTACTTATTTAACAAACTTAAATTACGAATTAACGGATAACGAATTTAAGCTTACTGTTACCGTTGTAAAATCTATTAGATTTGCAATGTTGTTACAAAATATCGAGGTGGAAACTTGCGGTTCTTGGCATAAGAGAAAGAGATAGATAGATAGATGGATAGATAGATAGATAGATAGATAGATAGATAGATAGAGAGAGAGAGGGTAAACTTGATATGGTAGCTATGTGACGCATAGCCCCAACGTTTTGGTCCCAATGCACTTAACACCGTCTTACTCTAATGTCACGAACGTCCATTCTATATCCTTGAGAGAGAGAGAGAGAGAAAGAGAGAGAGAGAGAGAGGGAGAGAGAGAAAGACACGATAGCTAGTTACTCTATAAGACAGATGTTACGATTCATCAATTGAGATTCTAAGACGACTCGTGTCAATCACCATATGATTCACTATATTGGAGAAACTCGAAATTCAAGAGAAATTATGTCAAACGTCCTTGGATTCGAGGAATCCAAAAACGATCGTTTCGTGGTCGTGGCAATACCTGAAGTACGCTAGAACGTGTAAACCCCATATATCCAATTAGATTCGTATAATCCCTGCACGTTAGCAGAGAGAGGGTGTCTCTAGCTTCTACGATCCCCCTTTCATTCTCTCTCTCTCTCTCTCTCCCTCTCTCTCTCTCTCTATCTTTATCTGTAGTATGCTTCGTTCGTGAGCTTGCGTCTGCGCTGTGTACTCCAACGCTAAAGTACTAATTTATGGGCACATATGAGACGACTATAGTACGCGCTACCGTGCCAGGAAAGGGACTCTAGGTTGTGCATGGAACTATAGTGGGGAGAACCATAGGAGGGTATATATCGGAGAACACAGAGGCGGGCTTTGCATGCGATATCAATAAATCAAGTCCCCGGGACCCCGGCAGCTTAGGAGGGCACTACGTGGCCAGAATCAACAGCTCATAACGTCGGCTAATAGCTACCCGCGGTGGGGTCGAAGATATTGTCCTAACGCCCAGGGACATCTTACCCAGCTAGCGTTGGATTCTCTCTCTCTCTCTCTCTCTCTCTCTCTCTCTCTTTCTCTTTCTCTCTTGTTCCAGTTCCCTACCCAGCTAACTCACTCGAAGAAAAATCGTCGTTGGTGCTTCGATAAAGAGAACGCGAAAAGATCGCCGGTAGTCTACTAGGTAGCGTTTGCTCTTGCGCTTCGTGCCATGAAAATATCGATTTCGAGGGGTTTCGCCCAACGTGCCTTCCCCGAGATTCTCGAATTAATACACGAATGAGCTTTTGATGAATACCTATTGCTTCTAACTATACTTACTAGATATTTATGTACACACACACACACACACACACACACACATATATATATATATATATACATATACATGTATATGTTTATATAATTTAACTTTCAATTTTAATAATGAAATTATGGTTTAATATTCGCTTAATAACTTCTTGATAATATTTATTTCAGATAGCAATTATTTTTCTTATTCATTCATTGCCAATTTTTCATTTCCAATTTGATTTATTTTACTTTTAATATGTCATATAAGTAAATATAGATTGTAACATATATATACATATATATATATACTTTTGAATAATACTTTAATATTATTCTGTTTCCCGTTTCAATTTATTTTATTAATTATGGAATAAAGTTTCGCGTCAATTTAACTTCTATCAAATACATATGTCATATCAATCGATTAAACGCACGTGATCTGTTGGATAAAAAGTAAAAAAAACGAACAAAAAGAGAGGAAAAAAAGAATCAGGAAGAAAGAAGGAAAAAGTGAATGTATTTGTTTTACGTGATTGACGAATGATTCCCATGGTTTCAGGTATGGTTTCAAAATCGTCGAGCAAAATGGAAGAAACGTAAGAAGACGACTAACATGTTCGGTGGTACTGGTACGTTGCTACCGTCGCATGGTTTGCCACCATTCGGGCCAATTGGTCCAGATCTATGCGGAACTGCGATGTTTCAAGCACCTGCGGAGAGATGGGGAGTGAGTACAGGTCAGACGTCGATAATTTTCTTTCTCAGTAACCCTCTCTCTTTTTCTCTCTCTCTCTCTCTCTCTCTCCCTTTGTCTATCTCTATCTCTATCTCTATCTCTATCTCTATCTCTATCTCTATCTTTATCTCTCTCTCTCTCTGCCATTCGACTTTTTCCCAATTATTTGTTTTCTTTCCTTTTTTACTTTTTCATTCATCTCCATATTCATTATATCTAAATTATTTTTATTATCAATCGATTTTCTCGTAAATCGCGAGAGAGGAAACACGACTAATAATTAAGTAGAATAATAAATTTCACGATTAACGAAGGAGAGGTAATATGACGTTTTTTCTTTTCTATTTTTTTTTTCTTCTTCTTTTTTTTCTTTTTTTTTTCTTATATATAATATAGACAAGTAAATCGAGAGAGACAGATATCTCATTTTTATCTAATTGGTATCGATGATTAGAAGAGCAAAATTTCTATGTGTCAATTTAACAAGCGATATAACTAATTAGCAAAAAGTTCATATTAAGGAGATAGATACGGGATGGAGTCCAGTTTAATGGGGGCAAAGTCGTGACTACGACGACTACGACGACGGTGTTTGACTTTTAATTTAATTTCCTTCGTTCACCGACGGAAGGTAACTTCGAATTACTTAGTCTTATTACGTTGCCATGCGATATCCTACATTGGTAAGAATAAGAAGAAGAAAAAGAAGAAGAAGAAGAAGAAGAAGAAGAAGAAGAAGTAGTAGTAGTAGAAGAAGACGAAGTAGAGGAAGAATGAAAGAAAAGGGGCAAAAAAAAAGAAAAAAAGAAAAAAAGAATGAAAGAAAGAAAGAAAGAAAGAAAGAAAGAAAGAAAGAAAGATTGCCAAGTTTTATTTTATTCTATAATTTTCAAAATAATAACATCAACAAATCAATATAGTATGTTCGATTAAAACGAATATGATTGGCCTAACTATCATTTACCCTTGGATTATTACTTATTAAATAAGATTAATCATAATATCTGGTCTATTGTAGGTCTCGGCCAACTGGGACAAAGCGGCATGGGCATGAGTGGTTTCGGGCAATTAGGTCAACAAAGCCCCAGTACTCTTGGCAACTTGGGCCTTGGCAATTCTGGTCTGTCGATCAGTAGTCCTTCCCAGACGGTCTATCAAACGAGTTACGGATTAAATTCTCTCGGTAAGTTCTCGATCATTTGAGAAGAAAAATTATTTAAAAGGAAATATCTCGTATAAGAACGATACGTGCCAAGTATCGAGAAATATTTTATATGTAAAATAAACAACGACACTGTATTATATACTATATGCAATAGTATCCGTATATGTTACATAATAAATAATGTCGGCATTTGCAATATTTTATACGCAAATAAACAACAATATTATATCATACGATATTATTGTAAAGAGTAGCTGTCTATTTTCATCAAGTGTTCGATCAATCATTCGAGTAAATCATAATAAAACTATTCATGAACGTGGCGTCGTTTGTTCGAATATAAATATATTTCAAAAATCCTGCATTAACTTATCACGGCCAATCTCTGTGATACAATTTCAAACGATATTAACAAATTATTATATATAAACTTCCACTTTCATGTTATTCTTTTTCCCTTTCTTTTCTTCTTCTTCTTTCTTCTTCTCTTCTCTTTAATACAAATAATATCGTGTTAACCATTAACGTGGAGTTAAAATCTCTATTACTAGGCAACGAGAAAAAAGAGAGAGATAAAGAGATAGAGACAGAGAAAGAGAGAGAGAGAGAGAGAGAGAGAGAGAAAGAGAGAGAGAGAGTGAGTGAGTGAGTGAGTGAGTGAGTTACCCTGAGATGTATCGAAGTTAAACAAGAATATTCAGTTCGTAGGCGCTTATGGTTGCTTCGATAATCGTCTTGCCAAACTTTTCGGACTGGGATCCTCCTAAAAAAGACGTTGAACAAATAGTATCAAAAAAGATCGAGAAAAAACGAACCAGAGAGAGAGAGAGAGAGAGAGAGAGAGAGAAAGAAGCGTGTCTTTGACGAAGTCGTTAAACGTTACGATGCATTATCATTCCGAAGGAGTTATGTGCCTGCACGTAAGGAATTTGAGACAGAAACATAAACTCCATCCTCCTGTCTGTTTACGCAGGCAAACTCCGAGGCTGGTCTCGCACCTAGGTGCGAGATCTTTCGCTGTTGTATATTTACCATAACATCACGATGCATCCTGTCTTGGGTAGAGTTACGCTTCTTCGGACAGAGTGTGATCTTACCTATATGTATTTTATATATATATATATATATATATATATATATATATATATGCATGTATGTATGTATATGTGTGGGTGTCTCTCTTTCTTGAAGGATATACGTAAATAACTACGTACGTATGTACATGTGTATAAGTTATGCATGTATATCTCTACGAAGGATCCTTTGTTTTCACCAGACAAGTTTTCTTTTATTCTTACAAATTTTTTTTTTTCGACTTACCACGTGTCTTTCAATTTTTCTTTTTTCTTCTTATGTTTTTTTCCTTCTTTCTTTCTGTCTTTCTCTTTTTCTTTTCTTCTTTGTAAAAATATTCATTAAAAAAAAAAGGGAGAAAAAAAATATATATATATATATGTGTGTGTATGTAGATAAATAAATAGATCGTATTCTCGACTCGATCGGAGAGAATCCATTTGCAAAAATCATTCTACGATATCACGTTGAATGATCGTTGAATAGAATCAATGAAACGAGGAGAAAAAAATAATTATAGATATATATATATATATAATATATATAATATATATAATATTTATATTGATATTAATATATATATATATATATATATATATATATATTTATTAATCGAAATTTTGTTTAAATCGTATTAAAAGAATTTGAAACCATCATTTAGGCGTAACACAGTTTCACAACTCACCGAAGGGACTACTTAACAGCTAAGTCAGTTCGTACGTAACACGTACATATATATATTATACATATATATTTATATATACATATATATACACACATATATATATATATATATGTGTGGTGTCAATTATCACGCATTATCGCCGTACGAGCGAGTCCAGTAAAATAGAGAAGGAAAGAGAGAAAAGAGTTAAAGAAAATGGAGATGGAAGAAAAGAAAAGAAAGAAAGAAAGAAAGAAAGATAGGTAGAGGGAGAGAGAGAGAAAGAGAGAGAGAGAAAGAGAGACAGTGAGATTGTCTGTAGAAACGTAGTGTATGTGTATCTTTATATGAATCTATGTATGTACGTATGTATGTGTGCAAGAGGTTTGTGTATATGTTATCCCTGCGCGAATTCTCGCACGTGTGAACGGTCCTTAACGTAGAACGAAACGTTTTGCGTTAGAAACGCAAAAGCGGAATGGTATGATCATGCTCTCTTCTTCTTCTTATTCTTCTTCTTCTTCTTCTTCTTCTTCTTCTTCGTTTTCTTCGTTTTCTTCGTTTTCTTCGTTTTCTTCGTTTTCTTCTTTGGCTACCACTCACCTTTTACGCTCTTTGGTAATGCCTAGGACAAACAGCTTTTAGAGCAGCGCTATCTTTTTTCGCTTTTCAATGATAATTAACACCGAGAGATAAAGAGAGAGAGAGAGAGAGAGAGGCTAGACTCAAACGAGAACGATCGTCGGAGTTCCACTTTGAAACTTTTTAACCTTCGCCACCCTCCCCCTACATCGAATTCTGACTTCAGTGAAATTTCGTCAGAGTATCTTATTCTAACCCTTAATTTACCCTTTGAATTAATTGCGAATGCGTTGTGAAGGAAGAAAAATAAATTAAAAAAAAAAAAAAAAAAAAAAAAAATAACAAAAAAGAAATGAAATATCTTTATTTTTTTTTCTCTTCATTATTCTTTTTCTTTTATACATGACGAATATTGAACCCTTCCCTGTCCCCCCTCTAATTAAAGATCTTAACGATTGTGTATAATAAATTGATCAATCGTAATCATCCCGACGTTGTTTAGATTTATTCTAAGGAAAAAATAAATAAATAAATAAGGGATTAATTTTTTATAAAAAAATTTTCATCCAACATATGCAAACGACGTAATGACAAAAATTTATTGTCAATTATAAATTTCAACGTTTAATTGATACTTCACGATTAATTGATAATGTTATAAATATTGCGACGGGAATGTACGCAAACGTTGCTTCGATATTTTCCTTTTTCTTTTCTACTTTACGAAACTTCCGAGATTTAATTTTATTATCTATGACGAAAGAAAAAAAAAAAAGCAAAAATAAATAAAAACAAAGAAAAGTAATGAGATCAGATTAAGAAAAAAAAAAAAAGAAAAAAATAAGTAGCACGATTTTACTTTCTCTATTCTTTTGCAATCGTGTGTCCCGAGTTGATTCGCTTGATTTCTTTTTTTTCCTTTTTATTATTATTATTATTATTATTTTTTTTTTTTTTTTTTTTTTTTATAGACACATATAACTCGTATAATATTTGACGTAACAATTTTTCAAACGGAATAACGTGCGTTACGACTCCGTTGTTTTTCTTTCTTTTTTTTCTTTTTTTTTTTTCAGAGTCAAAAGTAAAAAGGAAAAGAAAAGAAAACGAAAAAAGAAAAAGAAAAGAAAAGAAAAAGAAAAGAAAAAGAAAGAATACGATTATTATCTATCCTCATTCCTTTTCGTCGAAGCTTTCGGAAAGGGGTGCAGCCTTCTACGCAAACTTTGAGTCGCCATAAAAAAGTTTCTCCCTACCGGCGTTTTCTCAACCTCTTCCTTTAGTGGCCGCCAACGACGTGTATTTTACGATCCGTGTTCGGTAGCACGACCCACGCACTTTGTGAATCTACCGCATTAATATCGCCGCCATAGAAGCCAAGGGAAAACCTTTTGCGTGTGCTATGCGATAGGCGCCCTTCTAAATTGCCCTTTTTTTTTTTTTTTTTTTTTTTTTCTTTTTTTACCTGCCGGACCGACGATTATATTCTTTTGCGATTCGGCCAACGAATATTTGTCATATTTCCTTCGGGTTAAAAACATCGATCGATTATCGAGCTTTTATATGTATATATATATATATATATTTTTTTTTTTTCTATTAAACATTCAAGCATTCTCCTTTCTATTTAAAAAAAAAAAAGAAAAGAAAAAAAGAAACACTAAGACTGGCTGTTCATTTTTCTAATAATAATATATCAATAATTTAATTTCCCATATACATTGGCTAATGAAATATTTTACATTATTTTTTTTTCCTTTTTTTTTTTTTAAATACGAAGTAATATATCTATCATAATTAAACATTTATATATACAATACATACAATGATTCGTTGGATCGTACTTTCTAGGAAAATAATCGATAGACAAGAACGAACGTTTCAGACATAGCAAATCAACAAAACAAATAATACTATGATCTCTGTTGACGATTTCTAACAACAATCGACATCTTTCATTCACCTACAGACCTTCGAACGGTGTACACGTCTACAAGACGAAAACGAAATATCTTAATCATCTTTATTTAATATTACGTTATCTCCGTATTACGTTTAATTTCATATTTAAATAAATATCTTAAATAAATCGATCGTATTCATTTAAATAATTTTTTTTTATAACCCTTTTTTTCTTTTTCTTTGTTTTTTCGTTTTTTCGTTTTCGTTTTTTTTCTCTTTTTTTTCTTTTTTAGCTTAAACTCTTTTTACGCGAGACTTTCTTTTTTCTTTTTTTTTTTTTTTTTTTTTTAATATTAATCATTTAAATATGTAAATTTTCTTTTGAAATTTACAATTAAAAATCGATTGTAATGGACACGTTGAAAATTTGCATATTGATCTAACGTTTCATCATTTTCCTTTTTATTCTGTAGCTTAATAATCCGTTGTCATTTTTTTTTCTCTACGATTTTTTTTTACGATAAACTATACGCTTAATAAAAAAAAAAAAAAAAAAAAAAAAACTAAAAAATATCATTGAATCCGTCCGAAACGTATATTATCTCTGCCTATATGAAAATAAAAATTTCTGTGAAATATAAAACTAAAATCGCTATTATAATATAAAGAAAAATGTTGAAAATCGAATCGATTTTTTTATAACTCGAGCCATTGTTTTCTTTTTCTTTTTCGTCTTTTTTTCTTTTTTATCCTTTTCGCATTACACCGTAATCTTAATAAAAAAAAAAAAAACAAAATATTCACAGAATCCATCGAACGGATATATCTGGATTACAAAAGTTTTTTTGAGATATGAAACTAAAAAAGCGCGATTAAAAAAAAAAAGAAGAAAAAGAAAAAAAAAAAGAAAAAATATAGAAAATCGAATAGACACTACAGATCTAAAAAAAAAAAAAAAAAAAAAGAAAAGAAAAAGAAAGAAATCATTGAGTCCATCGAACGCGTTCATTTAACATATATAATTTTATAATATAAATATTTGAAAATTATTATTACTATTATTATAATTATTATTCGTTGTATCC